CATTTTGGGCCTGCTTAACCAGCCCAATGAGGAGACCTTGGCCCAACGTTGGGGGCTATAAATATCTTCTCTTTCGAGAGAGTCATGTATTGAACATCTCTTACTCACTCTTGCTTTCTAGCTAATTCCGTATCTCATTTTGGCATCAGAGTGCCTTGCAGGTACCCCCACCTCACTCTCAAGTTCTGCTCGAAGTAAGTTGTGACGGTCTATTTTGGTCAGGTACGATCAAGATTAATGGTGGTGAAATTGTGAGGTGGATCTATAGAACATATCTCTCATGAATCACTTCTCTTCCTGTAAGACGCTGCCAGCCGAAACATGCAAAGCTCATTATGGCACATAATGACATACCTTTCTACATGAGTGCGATCTACGATATAATCAAAAGAGTTTTCCATGTAAATTTTTTATAGCTCTCGCACAATCTTCTTTTGTGAGAAACCTCTCTCCCACTTTTAACTCACCCTCCGACTGCATATACAGATTGTAAAAAATATCTGAGGATAACTTATCTTCATTCAAGTTCGATTTTGTCATACGCTGAGGCGAACAATATACATGACTTAGAGGTAATGACTCTTGATCGTCATCTCTAGTGTTGTTGTTCAACATATAATCGACATGTGTCTCACTTTCTTCTTCTTCATCGTCAATAACGTCAACTTCTACTTCAGATTCAACTTGATCAAATATTTGAGACTGATCAAATATTTGTGATCTTCAACAATCTGAAACTGTTGAGATTGTTGAGGTTGTTGGAGAAAAATATACAACTCAATATAGTTGAATCAAGAATATTCGAGACTAACAAACATATCTTCAACATCTTCATCATCACAAACCTTTACAAGAAGAAAATTAACGTGATTGATTTAAAAAAATACATGACTTTGATATAAAATTCATGATACATGATCATACCCTAACTTTGAATCTATTTTCTCTTTCAAATGCAAAAAAAATAATTTTTTATTGATTGCGATCAGAGTTATATTGATATTTTGAAAACTAAACCAGATATATGAAAGACATGTCTCTCCATTGCATAAGACATAACTTGAGTTTTTTGGTTTGAGATTAATCTAGAATTGGTTTGGAATTGCTTGAGAATTAGTTTGAGAGATGTTTAATAGAGATGATAAATATCTTCATGCATTATTCCAATTGGCGCATGCTATTAAAATAATACATTAGCACCAATTCATTTGGCTTTTACTCGTGCATGCAAAAGTTGACACGATATCTGCATGGCTAGCTAGGGGTGCCAAACACCACGACAACCATTTCTTCTTTTCTTCAACGGAGCATTCACACTAATATCACCATTCAATCGACTAGGCCCACCAATAACCCCATCAATTCAAACAACACAACCCAACTACACCAACATGGGCTACAAACTCAGTTAGGCAGCACGTCAATGCAGACACAAGACTACATAGATATACAAGAACTTATTAAGAAATCTAGTGACATTGATGTTTTAGGAAACTCGTATCAAACACTTGGGATGTATCAATAGAGACCGATACGAGAAAGGGTACCTAAGAGTGTAGAATCGATGATATGTATGATCAAACAAATCGTGGCATAATGTAAAAAATATTCCCGTGTGTAATCCGATTTAAATTAAATATTATTAGTTTTTATTAATTTTTTATATTAATTAATTAAATTAAAATAAAAAAATTACATGGACATAAACATCAGATTAATTGACGCCTCGTCCTAATATATATATATATATATATATATATATATATATATATATATATATATATATATATATATATATATATATATATATATATATATATATATATATATATATATATATATATATATATATATATATATATATATATATATATATATATATATATATATATATATATATATATATATATATATATATATATATATATATATATATATATATATATATATATATATATATATATATATATATATATATATATATATATATATATATATATATATATATATATATATATATATATATATATATATATATATATATATATATATATATATATATATATATATTAAATTGAATTACTTATAAAAGACGTCAATTAAATTGTCTATTGGTTTCGCCATTGCGTTGTAATTTTTATTTATTTAAAACATGGATATTTTAAAAATTAATGGAAAAACATTGTTAGTTGGAGAATTTAGATAACAAAAATGATTATTTGGAAAGAAAATTCCAATTTTTTCAACTTAATTTTGTTTGCGCGAATAAAAAATGAAGTACTAGGAACATAATTAACATAATTTGCCCATATAATGGTCAAATCTATGGAGGAGATAATACTAGCCGCCACTAAAGTTGATATCTACTTCTACTTATTTATGAACCACAAAGTGACTTGATAGAATGTTGCTAGTTGATCATTCAAATATTTATGCAACACTCTTTCCACAAAATATAAAAGTCCTTTGGCTCCTTATGCTAGACTAAGTTAGAGTTAATAATATCTGTGTAACTATCACAATTATTTTCCATTGAACCACTTGAATTCTAAATAAATATCTCCATTGTGTTTGGATCTGATTGAACTTGTGAGTTGGTGAAGATGGGATTAACATTCACAAAGCTGTTCAGTAGATTATTTGCCAAAAAGGAAATGAGAATTTTGATGGTTGGTCTTGATGCTGCTGGTAAGACAACTATTTTGTATAAACTCAAGCTTGGAGAAATTGTCACTACCATTCCAACCATTGGTTAGTTTTATTTTACTTCATCTTTGTTGTTATTTTTCTAAGAATAGTTATTATACTTTGTGTTATAATTATGTATATCAACGATCACACCATAATTTGAGTAATATCTACAGGATTTAATGTTGAAACCGTGGAGTACAAGAACATCAGCTTTACTGTGTGGGATGTTGGCGGTCAGGATAAGGTACATCTGCTCTTATGTGTCTTTTATGCTTGTTTGTAGAATTCATGCATGATCAATTGATTAAGTTGATGATCACACCATTATGATGTATTTGCAGATCCGTCCATTGTGGAGGCACTACTTCCAGAACACCCAGGGTCTTATTTTTGTGGTTGATAGTAATGATAGAGACAGAGTGGTTGAGGCGAGGGATGAGCTGCACAGGATGTTGAGTGAGGATGAACTTAGAGATGCTGTTTTGCTTGTTTTTGCAAACAAACAAGATCTTCCCAATGCAATGAATGCTGCAGATATTACCGATAAACTTGGTCTTCATTCGCTCCGCCAACGGCACTGGTATGAATATCTCAGAGACACCTGATAAGACACTAACACAGACACGTCGAAACAGATGAAAAGTTAAAAATTTAAATTAATTATATGTCTCGGTGTTAGACACTAACACACTTGTCGGACACCAGACACTTCCATTAGAAGTGTCATTTCTATATAGATAACCAAATCAACTAATGACCAAGTGACATGCATGGGTGAACAACAATTTTTAATGCATTGTCTTGATTTATTTCAGGTATATTCAGAGCACTTGTGCAACTTCTGGAGAGGGTCTTTACGAGGGTTTGGAATGGCTTTCAAACAACATTGCAAGCAAGTGAATCCTCTTGAGTGTTACTTGGGTTTGTATGATTGCTTAAATGAGCTAATACTTTAAGCTATAATTGGAACTCTTGCAATCACTTTTTGTGTGACTTGATGTTTATTTTAATAGTTTCATTATCAGTTGAATATTTCTGTGGTTTCTGTTCTTAGAGTTTTACCAATAATAATTTTGTCAAATGATTGGTGTAGCAGAATTGGAAAATGTATAAGAATAGTTGTTACTGTGCATACCAGTTGGAGAACAAATTCTCCTATTTTTCACATTTCTTAATATCACATGATTTTCAAATACATATCATAACAAGAGAAAACTTGTGTTTTTGAAAAGTGTGCTTTTGCAGTACTTATGAGTTCCGATGCTGCAGTTTCAATCATTAAAGTTATGTCCATAAGTCAATTAAGGGACAATGACTATGATATTATCCTTAATCAAGACTCGTATAAGACTATTAGTCAGAAGAATGACTCTATCCTATTCAATGGAACACCTATAAGATTAGTCTTTCTGATCTTAAAGAGCAAAACATAAAATGTCTTATTATAAACCATGATCCTGTCAAGTTGGATCGCTTTGATGGAACCAACTACACCAAATGACAAGATAAGATGACATTCCTCCTGACTGCCCCGAAGGTTCATTATGTCTTAGATCCAAACTTAACACCAATTTCTGAGCCAACAGAGACTGACTCTAAAGAGCTCAAGAAGGAGCGCAAGAAACGTAAGGAGAACAATCTGCTTGCTATGTCGTGGACATATTCTGAATACGCTGTTTGATCGTCTCCACGACCTCTATAAGGATAATCCGTCTACAACATAAATTTGGAAAGCACTCAAATTTAAATTCAAGGTCGAAGAGGAATTCTCAAAACTAGGGCAAATCAAAAACCCTAGTTACAGCCTCTTCTCAAGCAAGCAAATCCTTCAAATCACTTCCAAAAGTATTGTAGGGTAAGATTTGATTATCCCTGATGATCCAAGAGGCCTGAGAATCGCGTATATGCCTCACCGTTTTTGTTTATTGCATGAATTTCATACTTTCGTTTTCCTTGTGTTTTAATGCATACTAATGATATTAACTTGTTTCTGAGATGTATTAGTACAAGATAGAACCATTGCATGACCCCATAATGCCCGGATGAAGGGTTGCCATATCTGAACCCATCTGCTTCATTTGCTTCGTATCTCACAATCTAGCATGATTTGGCCAAAAATAACACCTCCATTGAAATCGCAAGACCTGACTTAGGAGGGTATGGTACCCTTGAATCATTAATACTTCTTATTTTGCAGGAACAAAGGACCAACTCCCTGGAGAAGACGACTGGAGCTAGGGCTCCGACGCTTCTCCAGTCCAGTTATTTGAGTTTATTATATTTTTATTTTTTTTCACTTATGTTACTAGATGTATAGCCACCCCAGTAGTAGAAGCGCGCGCGATAAGGTATTTGTGTACAAGGGCGTGACTTTGATCCATGCCTTTTATCATTTTTTTATGTTTTCTATTTTTCAGGTTTTCCAGCGCGCGTCCTCACAACAACTCTACCATGCGCCTTGCCACTTCTCACCATCAGATCTTCAAAGATCTGATTCAACACCCAGGAATATGCAAGCCCATAACATGCTCCTTTCAGCCACCACACTGGATCCAGCGCTGGAGCCTCAGTGGGCCTGAACCTCTTTGCTATTCAACACCCCCTCTTTGCTAATTCAAGCCCAATTATTTTTATTTACATTTTCTTTTTTCTCTTATATTTTTATTATTTGTTTCATTTAACTAAAATACAAAAAATTAGTTTTAGGTTTTCTTAATTAAAATAAATTAGGGTTTAGTTTTTAATTAATCTTTTAATAATTTAATTAATTAATTATTTTTAACTAAAATTAGTTAGATTTAATAGGTTTTAATTAATTATCATAAACTATTTTCTTCATGAAAAATCACCAAAAAAAACATTTTTCTTTTCTATTTTTCTATTTCTGTTTTTTCTAGATCAATTGTATAGGCCGCACATTCCCTATGTAATAGCTTAGATTTATATTTTCCGTTTTTTCCTATTATGTAATTGCTCTGAGTATGTAATAGTTTTAGGGTTTTCTTTCTGCATTTTATTCTTATGTAACTTCCCCAAAGCCATGTAATAGTTTTAGGTTTACGTTTCCACACTTTATTCTTTTTGTTACTATACTTCTATGCTTCTACTTAGTAATTAGGGTTGTATGGAAAGATAAAAACCAAATGATAGAAAACCCTAACTTCGAAGATAAATAACTGAATACAACACATTTGCACACTTGCACCTCTAAGGCAACCTCTCTTGTTGCCCTCAGAACAAAAATGGTCATGTCCCTCGAAAATGGGGACGCTTTAGCAAAGTCCCTCGACGACCCTTCGAAGTTTCCTTTTGATAAATGATCTAGTCCCTTACGAAATTTCTAAAGCATTCTTACAAGTTTCCTTCGATGACCGTGCGATGACCCTTCGCCTGTCCCTTCACATCAAATAGATGGGGCTACCTACCAACTAATGGTGTGGATAGCACTATCTCTAAAGGAGGAGGAAAATAACAAGAACGACCTTGAATGGGTATGATACTTTTAATCGCTTGCTCACAAATATTTCTCACGAATACTTTTCACACATCACTTTCAAAACAAAGAATATTTTCAAAACACTTTGTATGCATTCTTGAGGACCGATACAAGAATCATTACAAAGTTCCCCTTACATTGGCTCTTCAAAAATATTTTCAAATCACACACACAAAGAAAATTTCAAAAGTGAGCTAGCGATTAAGAGCCCGTAGATAACTACAGATGAAAAGGGTGCTAACACCTTTCCTTTTCATAACCTACCCCCCGAACTCAAAATCTTCAAGGTCTTTCCTGTTCTTTTCACCCTTTCCTTATTGGATAAAAGAAAAGTCCGTGGCGACTCTTGCTATCCGCAACATTTGCGATAAAACACAAATCAAGTCAGTTCTCCCACCGTATTTTAGAAAGGCATGAAGACGTTTTTAATTTCTAAATATTTTGATTTTAAATTTATAGACTCCAAGTGCACGAGTTGCAAGTCCTTGTGAATAAAATAAAAGCTGTGAAAATAGACGCCCTTGAAACCTTTCAAGTAGATGCAAATCATTGCAAAGTTACCACCTTCGGTGAAAGGCCATAGAAAGAAGTTGTTGCACAATTCTGAGGACTTCTCTCTGGAGAAAATCCAGAAACTTCTTCGAATCGAGGAGGAATCGAAAGAAAGGGAGAAATCACAATCTGTGGGTCTTGGTCGGAAAAATAGAAAGTGTACTATTTCGGCCGATGTAGTAATAATAGGAAGTCCCAAGATATCGATCTCGAGGACTGTGTTAGAATACTGAGTTAAAATAATGGTTCAATTAAACAAAAGTTATCACTTGTGTTTTTGTTGGAATAAATCCTTGCAAGTAATTTAAAATAGTAGAATGTAAGATATGACTTTTTACTAGTGTGAGTAAAACATGCTAGGAGTAAGTGTGTGATTTGTCATATGATCACTTTGACTCTTGATCTTCTCAACAAGTTCATCAACATCAACTACTAGTTCTTAAGATTATCTTCCCCTAAGTCCTTAGTGAAAAACCTTTAACCTTCTATCCTAATTTCAATGTACATTACATATAGTGATGAAGCTAAGCATTTGATTATCAAGAATTTTTCGGTTATTATAGGATAACCCTAGTCCTAGGTGAAATCTTCTATAATATAATTGTTTAGAAAACCTTAACACGACTGTCCAACTCTACTCTGTTAAGAAAAGCATAACCCTATTGGTCCGATAGGGAAAACAATAACAAATTCTGAATAATTAAATTGATGCAAAAGAACTATTATGCTGATGAAAACAAAGAGATCAATATCGTTACAATGACAAATCAGGGACACCCCCTAGCATTGGAGGGTTTAGCCTCTCATAATATTCAAAAGAAAATCAATAATAGAATTAGACATTACAAAAAGTGTGGATCCTTCTATCTTCAATTGCTATCACGCATGAAGGAATCTCTGTTTCCAAAAATCTTGAAAAACCCAATCTTCTATCGTGCAAATCTTCTGTCATCAAAAAAAGTCCCCTTCCTCTTCTCACAAACAGGTTTTAATAGTATTAGATCATCCTTCAGCAATACAAAAATGTCCAAAGTACCCTTAATGATCCAAGACACTTAAAACTCCAAAAATCAGAATTCCTAGTGCATTGGCCGATACGGGCCGTGTCACTGGACACAGGTACCAGTGTCAGCCTCTCTCCCTTGCTTCAATTCACGCGTCCATGCAGATGTTTTGACACGGGCCGTGTCATGTGACACGAGCACCCGTGTCAATGTCTCTGACTTTTCTTTCTCACATCTCTGGTGCAGTTGGTTTGACACGAGCCGTGTCTTGTGACACGGGCACCCGTGTCAGCGTCTGTCTCGTGCTCCCAACTTCAACTTTTTCCTCTTCTCCTGACACGGCCTGTGTCAGGTGACACGAGTGGTCGTGTCAGGACCCCTGTAGCTTCCATATTTCTTTCATTTTTGCACCAATTCTTTGGAGATTTTCACTTGCACCTGAAGTCACCAATAACCACCAAACCAAGAGATCAAAAGCATCTAATTGACATAAAATTAAAATTAAAACCATGCAAAGATAAAGTTGTGAAATATGAAATATATTAAACAAAATGATAAAAAGATAAACCAAAGTGTTACCGCTTTGATGGATTTTTACCAAATAACTGATGGAAACCGAGTAGAATTGGTGACCGATCACAAACCCAAACTTAGCTCATTGCTTGTCCTCAAGTAATGTATGATATAACAGAGTGAGGTCACCCTGAAATTCACTCTTACCATAATACAACCGATGTCTTTCTCAACTTGCTCTGCACCATCCTAGTCAAGATTCCGGCTTTCCGATCCGAGCTGTCTATTACACTTCCACATAAAAGTACTCCTTCACCTGTCAGTTGATCACACTTCTAACCAAGTCTCTTAGGGTTAAAGTGTTTTTCACTCATAATCCAGCATATGCAATGTCTACTCTTAAATTTGAATAAATTCTACCTTCGTTACACATACAGATTGCACACACTTTTTGAGGTCTTCGGGATGTAACGAGGCTTAGGTATGATGGGATAAACAAACAAAATGGATATACAAAAGGTTATAGTCTCAGCATCCGTGTTGTTTTTCTTTCCTATGTGTTTCTTTTATAACAATAGGGATTTGACAACACCCTCTTTCTGACTCTGTGGTTCAACTCAATTTTTTGTTTTGAGCATTTCAAAGGTCCTTGAGTCTATTTTCTTAGGCAAGTGCTTATTTCTAAAGTTTTTTTTCTTCTTTTCGAGACATGTGTGTGTCTCAACATTTTTCTTCCTTGTCAATTTTTTATTTTTTCGCACTTGCCCTTCTCATCATATGTGTGCTACCCCAAACTTAGAACTTTGCACAGATTCAAAAATCAACAACACTTATGCCGAGCAGGGTAGGACGTGTTTGGCCATGGGTTAACAAATATGGTTATAACAGACATTGGGATACATGCTCAATAGGGGTTAACAACCGATAAACATAATAATGGGATGGCTAGAAAAACTCAGGGATATATAGAAACAACGTGCCTCAGTGTGTGTTATTCTGTAGTGTTATGTGAGTAGGACGTACACAAATTCAGAGTGATAAAGTCATACCTGATTAAAATTTCATGATGATAATTTTGTGTTTGGCTTTTTGTATGCTCACCAGGTTGTGCAAAGCTTATGGATTCCAAAGTACTTCTCGTGTAATGCCGCTTCTTTTCCGGTTCGAGTGTACCGAATTTCAATCTTAGTCCGGTGTCATCAAGTTGCATCCAACAATTACTTTTGGCTGTATCAGCTTTCAGGGGTTCCTAAGGAGCAAGTATGGGTTGCATCTTTCATCCTCTCACTACTATTTCATCAATCATCCGGTAAATCTCAATCAATCTGTAACACATGGTAAACAAAACAACACAAAGAAAACTAACATGAACGAAAAATAAAACTCAAATAACTAGAAACAAAAATTGAAAGAAAATAACAAAAAAAAACCCACACTTGAACCAAACATTGACCGCAATTTTTAAATCCAAGTTAGCGAAGGAGAACGCACAATGAATTACTGTGGAGGAGGAAACCATAACATTAACTGTTGCATCATTTGGTGCATTTCATTCAACATTACTCCCTTCCGTGTCTACTCATCTACTTGACGAACCTGTTCTATTCCTTGACATGTATGCTCAACACAGAGGTCACCAAACTCCATTTGCATCCACAACCACTCTTCTTGGGTCATAGATGATGCCCTTCCACCTGCTTGGGTAGGTATCTCTGGGGGATTACCCACCTTTTTTTGCTCCCGAGTATCTTCCTCCATTTGGTCATCTTTAGCTTGGTTCTCAACATCATATTCGTCATGATCATCCTGGACATCACTCACATACCACCAATTATCACGTTCAGAAATGGTAATTCTTGCAGGGTTAGGAAGTGGAAGAATAACCTTTTTATGACTTATTACAACATAATAATTGCTCTCCTTCTGAATCATGCCCTGGTTGACAAGGGCATTCATATCCAGCTTAGTCATAACTACAACGGGTGTCTCATTAAGTGCAACAGGGTTATAACTA